TCGGATTATGAAATTCCACACCGTTTCCAGAAAAAATGTGCTCCTGTTCCTCATCGATCAGATGTATCATTCTCGAGTGAAATCGATTAAAAAATATTGATGCACTCACATATCTTATGCATAACATTGCCAATTTTCAAATCATAGTGGCTATAAAAAAATAAGGTACTTCATTTTAACCAAACAATATCTTGAAATCGCGAAAAACAAAAAAAAAAGTTGATGAAAAAACTACTTCAATTTTTGTGCATTTTTTTCCATTTTCACTACGCTTTGTTGCAATGTTATGCATAATATCTGAGATGTAACAATATTTTTAAATTGCTTCTACTCGATAACAACACATCTGATCGTCACGGAACAGGAGTTCTTTTTTTCTGTAAAAAGGTGAGAAATTTCATAATCCAGGATTGAGTGTTGTTGAGAAATATGCAAACAAAAAATTTAGAGCAATATTTTAGGTAGTCCCACCCTGTATTATACACTCCTGATTGACATTTTGAAATGATTTCATTTTCACAGCATTTTGCATGGAAAGTTTAGTTCTTGTACCAAATTGTATCTTTTTATAACATAAAGTTCCGGAAATACTCAAGAAATATCATCTTCAGGAGCCCCCTTTTCAGGGAGCCGTAGTTCCCTCAAGAGACATTTCTCGACTCAGGTTCATTGAAAGTTTCCTTTCTATTTTTGGTCGTAAAAACCGCTTGTGAAGTTTGACAGGCTAATTTCGGGACACCCTGTATATATCAAGAGCGTAGAATAGGCTTCTATGAATCGTAGAGTGTAAGTGTATCAACACGCCAAGGTCACAGTTTATAAGGCTCACAGCCTTGAACTGTATCAAAGTCATCGAAAGCAAGTTACGCCCGAAATACATACTTACAACATTTTATCCACGACCAGTATATTTGATTTTTCAAGAACGATAGAAATACCTACATGATTATACGTTACCATGGTAACCCATTTGAAAAACAAAATGGTACATCTGTTTTACTTGTAACTTTCTAGGTACTTTTTCATTGTGTCTGAAGATGCAGTAGAGCCGAAACTATAGTCACACACTGATTATTTTTATATTAAATATTGTGGGCGACCGAGTTTGAGTTCGTTTTTTCTCCTGTTGAAAAATACTGGACCACTTTGAGAATGGATGGTTTCCATGACTTATTTTGAGTTTTCCTGAATAAAATAAATAACCGCAATTTGCTCTGATATCCTACTGAACAGTCATCGTTACCATTTGTAACCTGGATAAATACGCCAGTAAGTCTTCACACAATTCAATTTCACTATTGAAAACGCGAATCAATCGATATAATGACATATCACTGTTGAAACAATTTCGTTTCCTCAAATATTAGAACATCAAAAATAACGGAACATCTACCTTTACTCGAAAATTGATACAATTAATGCTCAAAGTGACTTCCATTTCAATTCAAAAATTTGCTTGTTATTTTTTCGTAATCTTTCTCACTGATTTTTTAATATATCCTGATTGTTTTTGCATTTTCCGGTATGCTTCTTCATGCTTCCTGGTAGTAACCTCAGAAAAATACGCTTCAGATTCAAGTTAACTGCACAATTGATAATCCACGGGGTTCAAATCGGGTGATCTTATAGGCCAGTTATGAGGGCCGCCTTGTCCAATCCATGTATCAGGAGAATTTTGGACTCCAAGATCACCCGATTTGAAATCGAAGAATCGAAGGAGCACGCACAAGAATTAAGAACAAGTAATTTTGTTTCAAGTGGACAAAGTAGATTTTTCATAATTTTTATTGTTCTGATATTCAAGGAAATAAAATTCTTTCAACATTGATTTGTAGAATTTCTTTACAAAAATATATAAGTACTCCATGGCCTCGATTAGTGTGAATAGTCAAAGTCCATAGTGATTTTGAAATACGTGAAGACACACTGGCGTATTCATCCAGGTTACAATAGCATGCGGGAAAATAAAAAGTACACCATTCGATTCAGCTTCTCGTGCACTTCTCAAATATGTGAGGGGGAGTTTGGAAATTCGATAATACAGGGTGGCCTTTTTGGGTCCAGAAATATGATCAATTTTCGTAAATTCGGACCCAGATTTCACTCGTGGGTGAATCGATTGGGTAGATGAAGGAGGACTTGTGTAGCAAATTTCGAATGAATATACCTCGGAATATACTGGATGGTTCGTGATGATTTTTGTTAACCATTTGGTAGAACTTGAAACATTCCATTTTCACCTATCCAAATGCATAAAAACTCCTATTAAAAATCAGAAATTCTCTAGTGAAATAGCATGCAGGAAAATTAAAAGTACCTACACCATTCGATTCAGCGTTTTGTGCAATTTCCACATACAGTGTGTCCACCTCAAGGACTGACCACCCCTGTAAAATATTATCTGACCGATTCAGAAATACCAATTTTTGTGGGATAAGTATTCGAAATATCCATCCAACATGAGAGTGATTTCATTCTGACTGCTATCATGGCCAACTGCGACCAACTTTATTGACCCATATTTCAGAAACTATTATCAGGGACTTTTTTTTATAATTAAAGAATGTTGGATTCTGAATCACGATCACTTGAGACAAACCTGTACCGATGTTCATCATCCTAAAACACAGGATGTCTGAAAAAACAAATTATTGTTTGTTTTTCAAAACGTGATCAGAAAACGGTTATCGTTGAGAATTAATGACAAATTATTATTGGAGAGTACTTTGAACATATCTCTACAGATTTTTATCATTCAAATATACGATGTGTATGGGAAAAAAAAATGAATAAGTATAGGCAATAAATTATTATCAATTCAAAAAAATAATGATTTGATGTTTCGGACACCCTGTGTTTAATGATGATGAAACAGGTACAGGTATTCTTCAAGTTTTCCTGATTCATCATCATTTTTTTAGTGAAGAAAATTATCATGATGGAAAATATTGCTTACTCATCCTTTTTGTTTTTTTTTTCAGAAAAATTGTTCATTTGGATGATGAAAATGAAATGAAATAAAATAATACCAAAGTTTTACACTTATATCTTCTGTCGACCTATTCAAAAATAATAATAATTAGTTTTTTTCGTTTTATTATGATATTATGAAAATCGGTATAGGTATGTTTCAAGGTTTCAAGTGATAGTGATTCAGAATCTATCATTATTTTTTGTGAGAAAAAATCTCTAATATACGGGTGACACAGAGTATCGGGCCACCCCTGTAACTTCTGCATTCGTCAACGGATTTTTCTGAAATTCGGTACAGTTATATAAGCAATCATTTCGGATTTGATCACATTACAATCCGATATGGCGGACTTCCGGTATTTCTGGAAATGCCAGCAACTTTGTTTTTTCAAATGAAACACCCTGTATATTTTCACATATTCAAGTTCAACAGGTCGAAACAAGTGCAATCTCTATTTCAGATGTCATTTTTTCGAAAAAATTTAAATCAAATTTGTTTTTTCATTTTACCTCGTGGATGAATGAGATGTGGTCAAGACTATTCACAATGAGTCACACATAACAGAAGAACATAATTTTTTCTGAAAAATTATTTTTTGTGTCACTTATCCAGGAATCAATTCAGCCACATCATTTTTTGATCAAAAATTATTTTATTTCAAATGGAACCCCTATGGGCCACCTACCCATCTCTCTAGAACATACATTAAGGAACAAAATGACATATCATTTTTGTTTTTCGGTGCAGTAACAAATTGTATACATTCAAAAATCTATATAGTTTATGGAATTTCCTTGCAGTTAGAATAATTTTTCAACTAGGTAGGCTGTGGAATGAATGACATTTGACATCAAGATTGCACTTGTTTTGACCTGTTGAACTTGAATATGCAAAAATATACAGGGTGTTCCATTTGAAAAAACAAAATTGCTGGCATTTCCAGAAAAAGCGGAAGTCTGCCATATTGGATTGTAATGTGATCAAATCCGAAATAGTTGCTTAAATAACTGTACCGAATTTCAAAAAAATCCGTTGACGAATGCAGAAGTTACAGGGGTGGCCCGATAACTTGTGTCACCCGGTATAGTAGTTTCGGGCCATGATAACAGTCCAAGAATAAAATCACTTCCTTGTTGGATGGACATTTGAAATACCAATCCATCAAGAAAAAGTGTTTCATCACAGGGTTGGTACCTTCACGTGAACACACTCTAGGTAAGTGGATTTTGGAAAATTGAAAATACAGGGTATTCTTTCTGGGGCCCAGAAATATGATCGATTTTCTTTAATCTGGACCTGGATTTTCTCGTGACTGATAGGTGTGTCGGTTGGGTAGAAGAAGTAGGAATTATGTACCGAATTCCAAAATAATATACTGGGTGGTTCGTAAGTTATGTCCTAACTATTTCAACAAAACTGACAATAGAAGTAACTGGAGTAAGTACGAAAGAACAGGAGAGGAGGGGAAGCACTAGAATCCCCATATTTCGCTAGTCTATCAATTGTTTTTTCGCTTTATTTCATTGAACATATGTGATTCGTAACGTTGATGCACGTTATTTCGAATTTTGAACTAATATCACTCCAGTTTTTTTATATTTAAATCGTCAACTTAAAACGCTCTGTATACCGACCATGGAGGCCCAAAACGAAAATTGGCTCAAGGAAGGTCATATTATTTTCGTATAAGGGATATATGGTAGACAGAAGGACGAAGACTCTCAATATTTCTAGTGAATATATGGTTGAAGTACATGATATCTCAAAGTGAAGAAGGTTTGAAGAAGATACATTGATTTATATGGAACAAATATAAAATTTTCAGTTAGCATTGTATTCATGGACATTGAACTACAAACTTCTTGACATTATATTCCTCCCATTCAATCACTGCCCAGATCATGTATTCATATTGATCAATTCATTCGAGATTATATATTATTATAGTCAAAATTGAGCGCGATGATCGATCTCCCAGTGGGATACATCAGTATTAGAATATGTTTCATCTTCAGTTTTAACTTACCAATAAAATCATTACTGCCTAAGTAAGCTGAATCATTTCTATTCCTAAAATTATTAATAGTTTCTGAAGAGGTACTGAGCGTTGGGTTATTGTACGCTAGATATGTACCGTGCAAACCACCGCCTCCCGCTCCTTGAACATCTCTTTCGGCCTTTTGGTGGTCGCCTCTGAAACAAAAAAAGGATTACTTTCTCCACGTGATACTCAGATTCGAGTTCTTTATAGGTTTAGTTGAAGTATAGAGAGATGGGAATTGTGTATTTTATGGAGAATGACTGAAAGAGTGACCGGACTTCAGGTTACTGAGGAGGGATGGATACCCGGAGTTCATTCGAATAAAGTCTTATAACCTGTTTGTAAGAAATGTAGCTTCAACATCACTGATATGAATTATTTTTGAGAGCTTTAAGCTCATCAAGATCAGAGTTCGTACAAGTATAAGTATTTCTCCTATATACATTTTGATTTTCATATCAATATACTGAATATACTGGTAAGTTATACTTGTATATCATTTCACATTTCACATCATATCATTTCTCCGATATCTGGAAGATAATGTCAATACTCAATTTCGGAACGATTTCATTTTCATATCCACATTTTATAGGGTGTCCAACTCATGTGATCCCAATGTTCGACGAGGCAAATAGCCATTTTTCTCATTTCCTTATGTTTATAATTCATCTGAGAATATTCTTTTTCAATAGTTGTTTTCTGTTGAATATTCCGAATGAGATTATATAGACTACAAAGGAAATCACATATAACTACAATTAGACAAACAGACTTCCTATAAAAAATATCTGGGAAATAAAGACGTTAGAGCAAACAAAACATATATCTGGCGTGAAACTGAAGGAAAAAATTGGAAGAGAAATGTCTACTACTATGCTATCGTTTACTCGCAGTAGCGCAGTGGGGGCGTCCAGGGTTTTCATTTTTCAGAAGAAGGTTATTCGTTTAATATTCAGCTCAGACAGTAGAGAAACATGTCGAAATTATTTTAAAAAACATGAGCTCTCCACATTTAATTCCATTTACATCTACAAATGCATACTATATGCCAAAAATAATTACAAGGATATTTATATTTCGACTCAGACTATCAAGGCAAACACGGAACTGGTCTATTTATGAAAAGAGCCTAATGTATACATATACAAGAGAATTCATTTTTTATTCATTTGTCGGTTCGTATGAAATTGGAAAACAACTCCAATTTATTCGAACATAAACTCAAGAAGTTTTCTGCAACAAATGTTTCTATGATACATATGAATTTTCAAACAAAAAATATCTTTTTGTTTTTCTTCAGCGGATTACAACTATTTTTTCAACTATAGTATTGAATTCAATGACTGTGTAAATGTGTATCTATTCAATCCTATAAACGTATTTGATTTGAGATTACGATTTCTTGGTCATGTCAAATTCCATAACAATAACAAAATAGAGGTCAAACTAATTTTTCTTCTTAGTTGACTTTTCAAATCATTATTAAATGGTGCTCCGATATGATCATAATAATTATGAAGCGGCTTTATTCATCACTATGAATTCCAGATACAAAATAGAGAACAGTAATGATGCAGTGATAAAACAACAACAAATGATGAGTGAGATTTTTTTTTTACTTCACCAAATTTGATCGACAACGTTCTCAATCCAGGGCCCTCGAGATTTAATGACGAATATAATGGTAAACTACACAGGGACCACAGGGTACTGAACCTCAGAGGCTCAATTCAAGAAATAAAGGGTTTGAAATGCAACAATGAAATAATATGAGTATGTTGTTACAACTGAAGAACAGTTGAATAAAATATTTATTTGAATCCATTATAATTGTACATCAATTTGATCAATAATGCTCTGGAATACGTCAATTCTTGACGGAAAATGCATTTCGAGCAGTTGAACAATTTTTCAATCATCATTTTCTGATAAGATGAGTCTTATGAAAAATTGCTATGATTCGAGTTCATATTCTATAAATCAATTACATCCTCCAAAATTTTTTCAAGGAAATGATCGAATCATAAGAAGATGGAATGTTAATTGAACCTATCATTTTATTTATCGATAATTGATATTACGGCCAAGGTTTTATTGACATTCTCATTACGAAGTACGAATATCAAAATATAAACTACATATTATGTATGAGGTTCAAGGTCTGGTGAAATTTCATGGTAATTCAAGCTGCTGCATAACGGAGAAGAAAAAAATTGCCCAATAAAAACAATTACCTACTGCGTCCTATATGTTTCAAGGATATCCGAAAACTTGTTTGAACAGAAGAACGAAACGACATGTTATACAGGGTGTTTCGTTATTGAATGTCAATATTTTGAGAGGCGATTCTTGGACCCATTCTAAGAAAAAAGTTTTATATGAACGTATGACCTAAACGTCCTAACTTTTGAGATACAGGGTGGTGAAGTTCTCAAAAATTAATAGTTTTTTACGAGGTTTTTTATTAATATCTGTGATACCACTTCATATATTCCAGTGAAATTTGGCATACATATTCTATGTGTCAAGAGGCATCAGTTAGAACACAACATTCTTTTTTTTGACACCAGTGGCGTTTGTATGGAATTTCACATAGGTACCTATTTTGGCAGACATTGATGGTACGCTACTGATTGATCTCGAAATTGAAATCATTCCTGAAATTCCCAATCATTTCTGAGCAAATTTGACCACTACAATTGTTTCAATCACGGTTTCCGCTTAAAAAATTTAAAGCTTTTCACTACATGATTATAGCAATATCATTAATATGACAATATCACAATGCAGAGGAATAGATTTTATCTTTTAGATCAAATTTCAGAAATACAATTCATGTTTTATGAACTTCGTATTCGGTATTTTGAAATTATAACTTCTCATTGTAGTCTCCTATATTGATTTTTGAGAACTTTATCACCCTGTATCTCAAAAGTAAGGACGTTTAGGTCATATGTTCATTTGAAACTTTCTTCTTGGAATGGACCCAAGAATCGCCTCCTCGAATATTGACATTCAATTATGAAACACCCTGTATATTATTCTGGTTGAATTCATGTTGAATGCTATTTTAACTCCAACCTTATTCTTCTTGTTGGTCATAGAGTGATTAGTAATAATAGTTATAAAACATATTCTCCAAGGTAGGTAGGAACCTCACACAAGTCTCTGACTTTCGAGGGTTGCTTTGCAACTAAGCTGGCGGTTAAAAACACTTTTAAACACTTTTAAACACTTTTAAACATACATCGAATGATAATTATTCAAGAACAGACTGAATATTCTGCTGGGTATGGTCAATCTGCAAAGTTACTGTTGATCGCAGGAATTATGAAATATAATCAAATAATCGTTGATCAAGAACCTGCAAAGAGAAATCACTATGCTATTTGTAATAATAGCCTTATTTTTGAAAACACTCACATTGCTTCAATGGGAATAAATGTTCAATCGAGTTGTACTATTGATTTGAACGAAGACTCTTCATCGATTTTTCATATGTATGATAACTTGACATTCATCGTACAGGACATGGAAAGAAATTCTGAATTGAGAAAAATCTAATCTCGAATCTGCGATTGAGGTCTATAAAAATAACAAGTTTCCATCGTTCAAGTTTGAACTCCTTGATTGGGTGAAAGTATTGAGAAGGTGAATTCTCAGATATATTTATGGACACAAAAAAATGGATGTATGTATATATAAAGAAATACATTGAGAATTCGCATTCTCCATGTGATAAAAATATCAATTCTTTCACGGTTTATTCAACAGAAAACAACTACTTTCTTGGTTATATGCCACGACGAATATTGAATTGAATCTATTGAACACACACGATGAGAATTTGAAAACAAAATCTTCTGAAGTAGAGAATTCGCATTCTCCTTCATATTGAGATATGCATATAATATAATTCTGAATATTCAACAGAAAACAACCACTTTCCTGGCCATTTGCCACGTCGAACATTGAATTATATTTGTTGAATATCGCTGAGTTATATTTTTATATCATAATACATCATATTATTCTATTCGATTTAAGAGATGATGTTGATTCTCAATTTCAGAGGATTTTGATCTTTCATGGTCTCTTTTTGGATATTCAACAAATATAATTCAATATTCGACTTGGCAAATAGCCAGGAAAGTAGTTGTTTATTGTTGAATTTTCAGAATTATATTATATGCATATCTTTATATGAAGGAGAATGCAAATGCCCTACTTCCGAAGATTTTGTTTCCAAATTGTCATCGTGTGTTCAATAGATATAATTCAATATTCGTCGTGGCATATAGCCAGGAAAGTAGTTGTTTTCTGTTGAATAAACCGTGAAAGAATTGATATTTTCATCACATGGAGAATACGAATTCTCAATGTATTTCTTTATATATTATACATATTATCACATATACCCATTTTTTTGTGTTCATAAATATATCTAAAAATTGTCCTTTTCAATTCTCTTCATTGATTTCGAAACTGAGCAATACTATGATTGAATTTATCTATCATTCCCACAATGATTGAGACTTTCAATCTCCTCCTGGAGATGCTGACATAGTAAGCGAAACACGTATCGAGGCGTATAAAAAATCGGTTTGGTTAGTGGTAAAAGAGTGTAGTGTTTTATCGTGCAAAAGGTTCCAGTCTTCGAGATATAATAATTGAGAGAGTATTGAAATGTTTCTATTGACATCATCCTATATCTTTCGAAAACAAATCATTTCTATAATTTATTCAATTTTCATAATGTCACTCGATTTTGAAATATGATTTTTTCAATCAAAATTACATATAAATTTATATTCGAATCTATGATAGTAATGTTGCATTCGATAGTTACCACAATAGTACACGTCAACAATTGGTCAATTGAGAGATACCAAGCAAAATTTTGAATCAATGACTGCTATCGTTGGTTCTATATCTATATCATCAATCCTAGAAATATTTACTTATTATACAAGGAAAAAGAGTGATAGATTTTAGCTCCAGGTTGTGTTGTCTCCCGACGCGTAGCGGAGGGAGACAAAAAACCGTGAGCTAGAATCTAATATTTTTTCCGTGTATAATACACTTTTTTTTCTGTGACGGAAGAAAGGACGAATCAGTATTGAGCAGATATTATTACATTATTTTGAAA